GTGTCTGTTCCAGAGCCTCTGCCATGGCCGCCCGAGGGGTCTTCACCGCCCTGGCCGCCCGAAGGGTCTTCACCGCCCTGGCCGCCCGAAGGACTGACGTCTGCTTCGCCCTGGCCATCTGATGGACTGTCTGCTCCGCCTTGGCCACCCGATGGACTGTCTGCTTCGCCTTGGCCACCCGATGGACTGTCTGCTTCGCCCTGGCCACCCGATGGACTGTCTGCTTTGCCCTGGCCGCCCGATGGACTGTCTGCTTCGCCCTGGCCACCCGATGGACTGTCTGCTTCGCCCTGGCCACCCGATAGACTGTCTGCTTTGCCCTGGCCACCCAATGGACTGTTTGCTTCGCCCTGGCCGCCCGATGGACTGTCTGCTTCGCCCTGGCCGCCCGATGGACTGTCTGCTCCGCCTTGGCCACCCGATGGACTGTCTGCTTCGCCTTGGCCACCCGATGGACTGTCTGCTTTGCCCTGGCCACCCAATGGACTGTCTGCTTCGCCCTGGCCGCCCGATGGACTGTCTGCTTCGCCTTGGCCACCCGATGGACTGTCTGCTTTGCCCTGGCCACCCGATGGACTGTCTGCTTCGCCCTGGCCGCCCGATGGACTATCTGCTTCGCCCTGGCTGCCCGATGGACTGTCTGCTCCGCCTTGGCCACCCGATGGACTGTCTGCTTCGCCTTGGCCGCCCGATGGCCTGTCTGCTTCGCCCTGGCCGCCCGATGGACTGTCTGCTTCACCTTGGCCACCCGATGGACTGTCTGCTCCGCCTTGGCCACCCGATGGACTGTCTGCTTCGCCTTGGCCACCCGATGGACTGTCTGCTTCGCCCTGGCCGCCCGATGGACTGTCTGCTTCGCCCTGGCCGCCCGATGGACTGTCTGCTTCGCCCTGGCCGCCCGATGGACTGTCTGCTTCGCCCTGGCCGCCCGATGGACTGTCTGCTTCGCCCTGGCCGCCCGATGGACTGTCTGCTTCGCCCTGGCCGCCCGATGGACTGTTTGCTTCGCCCTGGCCGCCCGATGGACTGTCTGCTTCGCCCTGGCCGCCCGATGGACTGTCTGCTTCGCCCTGGCCGCCCGATGGACTGTCTGCTTCGCCCTGGCCACCCGATGGACTGTCTGCTTTGCCCTGGCCGCCCGATGGACTGTCTGCTTCGCCCTGGCCACCCGATGGACTGTCTGCTTCGCCCTGGCCGCCCGATGGACTGTCTGCTTTGCCCTGGCCACCCGATGGACTGTCTGCTTCACCCTGGCCGCCCGATGGACTGTCTGCTTCGCCCTGGCCGCCCGATGGACTGTCTGCTTCGCCTTGGCCACCCGATGGACTGTCTGCTCCGCCTTGGCCACCCGATGGACTGTCTGCTTCGCCTTGGCCACCCGATGGACTGTCTGCTTCGCCCTGGCCACCCGATGGACTGTCTGGTTTGCCCTGGCCGCCCGATGGACTGTCTGCTTCGCCCTGGCCGCCCGATGGACTGTCTGCTTCGCCCTGGCCACCCGATGGACTGTCTGCTTCGCCCTGGCCGCCCGATGGACTGTCTGCTTCACGCTGGCCTCCCAAGAAGAAGCGGTCTGTCCCTCCCGTCCCGCCCTGGTCTGTCCCTCCCGTCCCGCCCTGGTCTGTCCCTCCCGTCCCGCCCTGGTCTGTCCCTCCCGTCCCGCCCTGGTCTGTCCCTCCCGTCCCGCCCTGGTCTGTCCCTCCCGTCCCGCCCTGGTCTGTCCCTCCCGTTCCGCCCTGGTGTTTCCTTCCTGTCCCGCCCTTGTCTGATGGAGCGTCTGGTAGCCGCTCCGTAGGGAGGGGGTAATGTCACATGCCTGTCCTGTCTTGTGTTGCACATGGGTGTTTTGGTTTATTTGGGCCTTGTGCTCTTGTCATTGTCTGATCCCTCCCCCTTGTTACCTGATTAGTGTTGAGTTCTTCCACCTGTCCCCTCTTGATTTGTTCCCTTCTTAAGTCTCCTCTTGTTTGCAGTCTTGGTGTGATCGTTGTCTAATGTCTCCCATTCCCCGTGATCGTCTACATGTTCAGGTTCTGTTATCGTTTCATCAGGTACAGTTGTTGTTTCAGTTTTATTCGTTGTGTTTTTCCCCCTCTTGTGGGTTTTTGCTTTGTGTTTGGTTTGTTTTTGTAATAAATATCATCTCCTCCTGCACTTGAGTCCTCATACCTTTTTTCCTTGCACACTCCGTGACAAAAGGTTGCCATACATTACATATAAACCTTTAGGAATAACAAAGGTTGCCATACATTACATATAAACCTTTAGTCATTTCACCATTATATCTGTATACATTTATATACATACACTTCCCAATACAATCAGCATGTGAATGATTTCATGTGCTAGAAAAGCTGTACCTTAACTGCTCGCACAAGCAGAAGAACGATGTACTGTTGCCGTGGTTTGTGGCAATATGGATTACAAAGTAGGTAAATTAACCTTTACGAAGATGGATCAGAGAATGAATTGCATCTAAATAAGGTAGGAAAAATCCCCACTCGCCACTAGTTCACAACCCATTTTACTTCAGTCATGTGACATTTTTCTGAGTGAAAAAGGATAAATAAATAAATAGGCATAGTGGCCTCATTCAAAATGAAAAGACGTTTCAGATAATTACGAGTAGTTTTTTTTTATAATATCATACGCTTATGAATCATTCACCATAAGACTATTAATGTGTATAAAGAAAAGATATAGCTTCTGCTAATTTCATGTTACATTTTAATTTAAGCATATGTCTGTTTATGGTCAGCTCTCAGTTCTCTCTCCCTTATTGCAATCTTCTGTTCATAAATTTATTCTCTTTCTACCAGTCTTTCTATTCAATCAATCGTGTTATTTTTATACATTTTGATTACATTCTTGAATGCTGGAAAGCCTCTCATCATTCTGTGGATCCACTAATACTGTAAGAAGCCCATGAAACACACAACACTGACATTTAGCAGTTGAATGGAGGCTCTCTACAGGTAATTATTTTAGCATTTGCTATCCTTGCATCCCTCTGGCTTTACAGTGAATGTACTGCTGAAATGACATAAAATTAATAGTATTTGCGAAATAATGCTGGCATGCCATTCTGAACTAGTGCGCAGTGTTTTAGTAATGCATTGTAGTGCCATCAATGCTGTGTGTGAATTATAGACTTTCCTAAATGTTTTATCTGACCATTTCTCCAACACTTTAATGGAAGTCACTGACTGTTCTCGTTTTGCATATGGGAAATACTATCGGTTGAGCCCATGGTGAGGTGATTACAGTTCTCTTTTGATCCACAGTGTAACATGAGCCCTATGTGCTTTTGTGTGGCTATGGCTTTGTCTCTGATGGGATTTCTGCCCTCTCTCCATTTCCCTTTGTTTCTCTCCTTTTCTCTCCCTCTCTTCGAGGCTCCTCCTCCTCTTCATAGGACCCACCAATGAGAGACACTTGAGGTGCTGACCTTATCAGGTGGAGGTCAATGCCAGGTCAGGGATCTGTTGCTAGGCTACCATCAGATAAGTAGCGGGAAGACTGAGCACTGGGTTGCGCTGTCATTCAGTGCTTGTCATGTAATCTCATTCATTTGCTGACAATTGCCTGAACGTCACAGAAGGTTATCGAGCCTATCCTGTCATAATTAAACACATTAAAATATTAAACCAACAAAGCCAAGTGCTGGCAGCTCTTCTTGGCTTATGTGGTATCAGAGATGGCCAGCTGAGCATAAACATGAAGTTCTTAATTTAGATTTGGATGTGCTGGATTTGAAATGAATGCCATCTGAACCATGAAAATGAACTAGGCATGAAAATGAACCAGAAAACATGAGGGAATTGCACATGATATTCCATCAAGCAGGACAAATATTGCATCAACATATAGATAAAAATGGTTGAAATCAAGATTTAAAGGAATAGCTGACCCCAAAAATGGAACACAAAAGGAGAATTTGTGAAAAAATGCACTAGTTGTGCTTTAACTATATTAATTACAACAAATGGGGACTGAGACTTTCAAGTTTCCAAAATGACTCTAAAGCCTGTTAAAGTATCATTAAAGTTCATATTACTTATGTTCTATATTACAAATCTGAAGTTATATGATTGCTTTGTGTGACGAAACAGATTGAAAATGAGGTGTTGTTTACTGATAATCTTCCCCACAAGTTTAACTGTTGCAATCAGATCACGGTATCAGCACTCACTCAATCCCATAATGCACCGCAATGACAAGTGTACAACCGATGTACACTCAATGGCTAGAGAATACCCATAATGCACTGTGAGAGTCGCACGCCGAGTGAATTCCCACGTCTGATCAGAAGTTGGCGCCCGCAGCTGAATCATCCATCCATCCATTTTCCAAAACCGCTGGTCCAATGTGGCTACTATGTAATATCATACAGGTACAAATTCCTTTTTAATTAGTTATTAAATTGTTTAATTAGGTTTATACAGTTTCCATGACAGAGTTGAAGATTAATCATTTATTACCACTGAAACTGCTATTTTGCTAAGTTTCAAATCATTATTAAACAGCAAGCACAAACTACAAGCAGCACCCCTTCCATTGCGGTCAGTGTCCGAATTCACTCACTTATTCTCATTCACGACTTCATGTGGACTACCGTATATTAATCACTAATCAGTAATGTAGGGAATAGTGAATGAGGGTAGGCTATAGGAGGCGATTTTTGAACACAGCTATTTTGAACATCAACCTATTTATTGGAAAAACGGCATGAACTGTCATTATTGTGCCAATGAGAGTAATGGCAGATGACAATATTATCAGTAACAAGCAATCACTTTTTTAGTAAAAAGCTATACATTTAAGTCTATTTTTCATGCAAGCTATCGTATGCATTTATTAATTGTATTATCTCAAATTTGGTTAGAAAGAATGAGAAAAAAAGAGCGAGTTTGTTATGACATGAGAATAAGTAAATAAACAATAAAAGCTATTCCTTCAAAGAGGTCCTAAAAATGTCCATCCTTGTCATTTTCAATGTCAAAACTAATTTTCTTTTGCCATTGTGGCATGTGGTATTGTAGAGATATTTGTTCATCTGACCCCATGTAAATGATGATGCACTAGGCATTCTAACATCATATCATCTCCGTAGCTCTCAGTAGTCTCTCTGTAGGTCTTCAACATGACAGACTCTTCTGTCACTGTCGCTCTGAGTCGGGCGGGTTAACGGCAGGTCAGAGGATTTGGTGATCAGTGGTTCACTGAGCCGTGAGCCCTGCTGGACAAGCGCTTTGATAAGGGGACTGCTGCTTCTGCGCTTGCCCACTTCTGAAGCTTGGGTGAGACTGGCACGTTCTGAAAGGCTAAGTCTCAATGTCTGGGCACTTGCCAGCTGACATTCCACTGAGACAAACTAAGGGAGAGAGAGAGAGAGAGAGAGAGAGAGTGGGGCAGATTTATTGAGGCATCAGACTTGCCTCAGGAATGTTCTGTAAAACGCCATTCCTGTGAAAAGAATAAAGAAAATAATGTCAGACATTGTGCTGAACTGTTTTCTTCTCTTATTTCCTGAAGCATTACAGTATGTATGTGCATATCACCTTGTTGAATATATCGCTATATGACATAATTCAGGATCAAGCACAGCATGTCTTCACCCATTCTGATGAATATTCAGCTGTAAAGACCACTATTTGCCTGCCTCTGAGTCACAACTCCTCTGTGGTTGGGAACACTACATGGTCAAAAGGCAGAGTGGGAGTTTGTGTATGTGTGTGTTTATGTGAGAAGGAGAGATAGAGAGAGAGACAGAGAGAAGAGATCCTCACCCGAGGAGAGAGTGTAGGATTTGAAAGGCTAGCTTCCTGGCAGCCGGGAGTTTTATCTCTTTTTTAGAACAACCACTGAGGTGTTTTAAAGGAGAAACCAGCATACCATCGCTATGTAAGACTCACGGCTATAAAAGCAGAGATTTGTCTTTCTCCTCATGGCCTAATGCTGGTAATAATCGTTTTAAAACTGTCACAAGAAACTATTCACGTGTTGCTGTCATTATTTCATCTCTTAAAGGGATAGTTCACCCAGAAATGAAATTCTTCACCTACCCATGTCGTTTCAAACTTGAATAACACAAAATAAGACATTTTAAAGAAGGTTTCTGCCCATACAGTGAAAGTCACCGGGGTCCAAAACAACATGGATATTTTTGCACTCAAAATATCTTCTTTTATGTTCCAGAAGAAGAACAAAAAGCCATACAGATTTGGAAAAGTGTTATTTTAGTATTATTTAAGTTTTTATTAATATTTTAAATTAGCTTTAATTTTAATATTTGGAGTTTTTATTTTATTTTATTTTTTTAACATATCAATATTTGTTTATTTCCCGTTTTTAATTTTAGTGCTTCAGCTTGAACTCATTTCAGTTATTTTCAAAGGCAACATTTCGAAAAGTTTTTATCTATATTTTAGTTATTTATTTAATACAGATTTTACAAAATCTGTATTTTATTGCGGCTTCAGTTAGTTTTAGTTTAAGTTGACAATATTAACCCTGGTTTGAAATGACATGACAAGATGAACTCTTGCTAGAAATACTTCAATTTGTTGTTCTCTGCTTTGCAAATTGGGCATCCCATACAATAGGCACCGTATACGTATATGGGATACCGTTTACTGTATATATATATATATATATATATATATATATATATATATATATACGGTAAACGGTATCCCATATACGTATACGGTATATGGGATACCGTTTACTGTATATATATATATATATATATATATATATATACAGTAAACGGTATCCCATATACCGTATACGTATATGGGATACCGTTTACCGTATATATATATATATATATATATATACAGTAAACGGTATCCCATATACCGTATACGTATATGGGATACCGTTTACTGTATATATATATATATATATATATATATATATATATATACGGTAAACGGTATCCCATATACGTATACGGTGCCTATTGTATGGGATGCCCAATTTGCAAAGCAGAGAACAACAAATTGAAGTATTTCTAGCAAGAGTTCATCTTGTCATGTCATTTCAAACCAGGGTTAATATTGTCAACTTAAACTAAAACTAACTGAAGCCGCAATAAAATACAGATTTTGTAAAATCTGTATAAAATAAATAACTAAAATATAGATAAAAACTTTTCGAAATGTTCGAGGTGTGCACTTTGCAAATAAATACATAAATAATGTTTATTGTTAACAAATATATATATATATATATATATATATATATATATATATATATATATATTTGTTAACAATAAACATTATTTATGTATTTATTTGCAAAGTGCACACCTGATGACCTGGCAAAACCGAAACTATATGTTCCAGGATGCTAGCTGAACTCATCATGAAAGTAGAATGAGGGAGCTTTGTTCCAAATGTCACGATGCATATTTATAGATGTGAAGTGCTCCTTTTGTATATGCTCAGCTCCCCTGTCTTCCAGTCGCAAGCACTTCTCCCTACATCACTGTAATGACACATGCAATCAAACCAGAGATACGCTTGTACAGTGACCCAGCCACACTAGCATGGCCTTTTGGAAGGAAAAAAAGAGAGAGATCTCAAGCAGCAGGGAAACCTGGTCCAGATTGTTAAAAAAAAAAACCTTGACAAAGATTATGGCTTTCTTACATTTAATGACGTAAATAAGTAAATTGAATACAACAACTATGGCAAATGCAGGTGACATGTCGAGTGCCAGGCATTGCTCAGCTTATATCCAAAAGGGTTTTTATTTATTAACTCTGCCTGGGATATCCTGGATGTGTTGTCTGGCTTTGGTCCCACTCTCCTAATAGAGCCATGCCTTTTGGGTGGGTTGTGAAGAGTTAGTTCCATGGTCAGTTGGGTGCTGAAGGTGGGCGTATGTAGTGGTCTGAATGTGCTGAACCACTGCTAGGCATCAGTCTTGAACATGAAAAGACACTCTCTCCCTCTTCCTCTAACATGCACACAGATGAATACGCATTGCCCGCACAAACAGTTCAGCAGGAGTTCAGAGGTAACGTGTTACCATTTCAAAGCCTAGATATACAGTGCATCTCATTGTATAGAATTACATCGAAATATAAATAACACAACAAATGTTTCCTCTATTAATTATGCTCTTGTTTATATTAAAATAAATATACTGTTTGAATACATATTTATTCTTTACATTTTAACATTTACCAGAGTAATCTGTTGCAATATACACAGTAAAAATGTTATCACACTACTATTTAGGTTATAAAGCTGAAGGCCAGCTATGGAAGTTCCAAAGAGTTCAGAGATACATTAAAGTTAAACAAATGCATAAATTATGAAAAGCATCCTGCTAAAAATTAAGCATAGCTGGTCATCACAATCTCAGGAAAAAAGGAACAAAAGCTGTCACTGGGCGGTACTTTAGAGTGCTAATTAGTCTCTTAAAGGTACATATTGGTAGCAAAAGTTTGCCGGTTTGCTGGATCCCAGCATGCAAGCTGGTGTGCTGGTGGAGCATATGCTGTCTTTGGGTGCTGGTATGATCCCAGCAAGACCAGAACAAAACTTGCTTATGTGTTATATATCACTTTTCTTAGTGTTTGTTCCTAGTTAAATAAAGACCAGGACAATTTTCCAATTTAATTGGAATAAATTATTTAATAAAGAAATTGCATGTTGCTGGTTACATGTTTACTGGTACACAGTAAAAATATCAGTGTTAAACATACACTGCTCAGTTTTCATATGGTCTTAATCTATAGAGTAAAAGTAACTTTGAAGCAATGTTGCAGTTAAATAAAGAAGATTCACAACACAACAACTGACTTACAGCCACACAGCCTTTGAAATAAACTGCAAATAAAATGGATATGTCACCAGAGGATGATTCAACAACTCCAAAATAGCATATTCACTTATTACAAACCAGTTTGACTTTATTTCTTTCATATGGTACACGTACAAGTTGTTGAAGCCCTTTAGTTGGGCACTTGGCCATTGACTTTGGTTGAATTAATTTACTTTCAGCAATTGTTAAATGTGCTTGTATGCTATCACTTTTGTCAAAAATATTTCATGACTGCAATGACATACCTTTTGCTATGTGCACAGCTGGATTTTGACATGTGAGTTCCCAAATGAACATGAAAGTCTTTAAAAACAGCAACTTTCAGTTTTGAACTTTCATTATCAAGTTAACCATTGAAAGGGCTTTTCTCATAACGCCTGTTATTACACAAGCTGCGTATGGTTATTCTTTTATTGCATTTTACTTGGTTTTAATTATCTCTAAATGTTTTTGTTTTGAAGTGTACACATACACAAGCTCTTTATAACTGATTTTAACTAATTTGTGTACAGATCTTTTGAAACAGGAGACAATTCCCATGATGCTTTGAAATTGAAACATTTTACCAGTTTACCAGTGACATTAATAATGTAATCAATCATAACTAAAACAGCAAAAGAAACTACAAAGTTATAATCATATAATTAAATTATATTGTATATTGTTTTTCCTTTACATCATTAATGTTACATATAGAGATATGCAAGCAAAAACAATGCTTGCTCCCAAAACACTGCTTGCATGTAGACAGCTGGCCAACTCACACAACCCTTCAAGACCATGCGTGAACTAGCTTCACCAGCTCCGGTTTGATTGAGAACAGCATTAATATGCTGGTCCACCAGACAGACCAGTACTATACATGCATAAACCAGCCTGGACCACAACTATACAAGCACTAACCAGCATAAACCAGCATGGAATCCATGCTGGTTTATGGTGGATTTTTCAGCAGGGCATACAGAACAATATCCAGTATTACAGTGGATCCTGATTAATTATCAAAAACTATAATAAAACAATAGAGATGCTGCATAGAAAAGCTTGTACCCCATACACTCTTGCACAACCAAAAAAGGTATGTTGTAAAGCTTAGAATGGAGTAAAGGGTGCGCCTGTCAGCCATAATAAAGGGATAGTTCACCCAAAAAAAGGAAAATTATCTCATAATATGCTCAAACTCATACTGTCCCATATGTCCCATATGTATATGCATTTCTTTCTGATGTGGAACACAAACAGAGATTTTTAGGAAAATAATCCATCACATAATGCATGAACTCATGGACCCGTGTTTGACTGGCTGGCTGGAAGCGATGGTATCGTTTCACTTTAGAAGACATAGATTCATCAGCTGGGGTTAACTGGATTCCTGTTGTGTTTGTTTTGCATGCATGGTTTTTGAAGTGTCAACTTTAAGGGACCCACCTAATTGATTTATATGGATAGATGGATTTTTTCTTTTTTTTTTAAATCTCCATTTGTGTTCCATAGAAGAAAGTAGGCATAGATCTTCTGGGATGGCATGAGGGTGAGTATGAGATGATTTTTTTTATTTTGGGGTGAAGCATCCCATTAAGAACAATACAATTTCAGTGTAGAACATGTAGTTCAATAAAATGAGAACATTGGTTAAGGGTCTAAATACTTATGCAAGGCACTGTATATTAACCACGCTCAAAATGGTGGAGCGCACAGAGAAGCTAGATGAGTCTCATTAGCTTTAATTAGCAATTAGCTGTTTAATTAGCAATTAGCACTTATACAGCAAAGGCAGATATTGCTAATAGTTCACTGTGAACACTTGAGGACTGTCTGTCACTCAAGGTTCAAACATTCTAAGGTAAAAATAACTTTTTCTATATCTCAAATGTTATGAGATTATTCATTTTTTTTCAAAAGGTCTGCAGATTTTTTTTTTTTCTAGAAACATGATAAGATTGAACCACTGTCAAACATGTCAAAGCAAATACATCTAACAAATTCTTAAATCTCATACATTCGCTTCAGCTCATTTCGAGAACTGTATATAGAAATGCGAATATAAGGCAGCTCTCCTAAATCATTTCAGCTAGGTGTTTGACAAAGGTCTAAAGGCTGGAGCCAGAGCCTGGAATCGCATTGGATAACCTGG